CCCAGAGAGCAAGGACTTGGGGACCTCCTTTCGTTTGGATGAACCCGTGAGTGAGGGCGTCGGAGACCTTTCATGGCCAGTATGTTTTTCGAGTTCCTGAGCTGCGCCATATCTTTCCCGGCTATCTCTGGGCTGCCGGCCTTTCAGCATTTCCTTAAGTTTTTCAGGCTCATCATCGAAATCCACATAATTCTTCGGTGCCTCGACTTGTTCCGTGGTCACACCAGAGACGACGCGTGATCTTTGGCTAATGTTGAATGGCAGGGGTGAGGTCGAAGATGGTGTCGAAGATCGCGACGGTGCCAGAGAATCATACGATAGCCGTGGTGGGCTTGGTCGCGAAAGCCGGAGTTGAGGATGCGGAGTTTGGCTTGGCGATCGATGTGTATGGCTTAACATATATACAGTCCCGTCTTCCGTGCCTATAGCCACGCCTGCTCTTTGACTGTCGTTGCCTCCCGGAACGTCAAGCCATGGATTCGAGATGGGGCCCCAGGACTGCATTACGGCCGGCTGAGTCCGTGAGCAGCTGGTTTCCAGAAGTCGCGATTTCGAGTCATTCTGCTTCTTATGCTCCAAGGGATTGGGGAAAGTAAGAGGTAGAAGAAGGGAGGACGAGGAGTTCATTCCTACATGCAGACAAGCCTCCCAATTTCCAAACGCGTCAAGACTCAACAGTGTCTTCCGTTGCTTGTCAAATGGCATTGCTCCAAGCAAATGCAAATAGTCGTCTGGTGATAGCACAGCCACTCATGCCACCTGCTTGAACGTTCAACGCAGCCATTTCCGATTTCACTAGCGCCACAACTTCCATCATCGCAAGCCTCAGCTTTCTATGTGGACTGCAAAAGATCTGTAACGGACCTTAACTCGCAGGATTTTAAGGGAAACCGGCCTCACCCTGTCCTACACGTGGCAGACCTTATTCAGCGAAGATATGTAATTTGTCGTCCTTGATGGTGAGGGCCGGCAGGTTTGTCAGTACTCGACCCACACGCAGGCCTAGGTCTTACGGAGTCTTGAAACCGTCTTGAAACATGTCTTCACTTCTAGCCGTTTAGTCTTTTCAGAGGCTCTCTTGTTCCTACTTCCGTCGTCGAAGCAATCGTGCCCACCCCCTTAGCTCTGAAGCCGCGGATCTTCATCTTCGAAGCACTTTCCCTGTAATTCGTTTTCAATCGAACTCGAGTGCTCTCTATACTGGGGATAACTGTTACTAGCTAGATGATTTCTTGAACGGAACCCAGGTTTCCGCGTCGTTCAAGTCAACTCACTCCCTCAGTACCCTTCATGGTCAGTGGGCGCCAAGATCCTATTTCTCAGCGGTTTCACGTGCGTATCCCCGCTTTCATAGTATTATTAGGTTGGGCCCGATGATCCTTACAAAGATTTCACACAGGATGATACCTGTGATTTATCCTTCTCACAACTAGTACCGGCCACCCCACCGTTTCACCCCACCCTTTAATATGAGGTAGCTAACCCATCATGCGATCAAGGTGATCCCACTCCGTGTTACTGAAATTCCATATGCGTCTAGCAAAGTCGCCATAGTTAGTAAAGGCATTTTTTCCTTGACTTGCGCGATGTTCAGTGATGAACGACGAAGATCGCTGTTTTCGGTGGCTGGTGAACAGCTGGAATTCAAGGGTAAGGCTCATGACAAAATTCTCGTAACAAGGCTCCCGGCCTGACTTTTGATGATTGGTTTAGACGTGGCCAGAAATCAAGTCTTAGGATGGGCGGACCTGGATACTCGAAACAAGACTGCAGGCTGACAAGTATAAGTGTTCCAATCGCCGCCGTACCCATCCATCGATGTACAGGAACCCTCTGGCTCCTCCTGACTTGTGAACGATGTTGAGAAACTCCTACTCACCAAGGAATGAATTGTATCAACAGATTGATATCAGGTAACTTCTGGTACGTAAATTATACGGGTAGGAGAGATGAGTGTGTCTAATGCTCCAGCGACTTTCAATACACAATTGAAGAACAGGTCAGCTGCTTTGTAACTGATATTCGTCGCATCATTCATCTTTTTGTTCTATGCAGGTTCTGTGTAGCCTGGAGCTTTTTTGACGAGAACGGGCCAATAGGTAAGCATTTTCCTTTATGACCGCAACCCTTCCGTTCTCAACTCAGTCCCACTATAGCCTACGTGTCTGAATTGCCCCGACGTACGTTGTGGGACTTTGAATATATTTTTAGGCTCTAACCTGAGCGCGCATGCCATTTTGCATACACGAAAGACACCTATAATAATCTTCAAAGCCTATGACCTCGCGCGTACGTCAGAGCCGTGAGCTCCTCCTGAAATTCTTTAATACATTTTGATTATGATAGGGTCAAGGAACTGTTCTGAGATATGGCGCATGCCTGCGTGCTGTGGCGTGTTCAAATCAGCGTCTAGGTGACATGATAATTAGGGTGTACATATGTGTGTCCGAGGCACAAAACGCAAATTGGACGGTGAAGTTCAATAAGCACAGCCGGACTGCAAGCCGACCTCAATCAAATTGACAAGGCAACATTTCAACATTCAAGCGAGAACGACAATGCTGATGTATGTTCATTTTTGTCTACCGAGTAAGTTTTCGGCCTGCCAAATGCCTGTCGACAATTAAAGTCGTGTGCCATATTGACGGCACCGTGGCAAACGCGTGGCGGACTTCACGCGACGCGACCTCACCTGGTGTTTCTTGTTGTACTAAGTATTACTCTTTCAAGATCCTCTATTGTATTCTCTTTAGGTGAGCTAGGGCGTCTCGAATTCAAATTGGGGCATGGCGATCGCGTACCACTTCCGCAACTGGCTGTGCCGCCTCGGGAAGCCGGAGCGATCGGAGTCTACTTGGCATCGCGATCAATTTGGAAAAGATGACCCTTAAGCGAACCCTCTCAACGACCACGACACACCTCGACATGAGGCAAACTTCGAGTAGGGCAAATAAATATCAGGGTGGCTGGGAGGTGGGCGAAGGCCCCATTTCGTGAGACTAGCTCTCTCCCACTCGAAGATGCAATCACCGCAACTGTCGCTGCGGCGAGAACGGCCAGAGCCTCTTCGTTTTACTTGTCGCGAACCGTCAACGTCGAGGCGCACACAGTCCTTGGGTCGCTCTACTGGGAGAGCTGCAGGCGTTCTCTGTTCCTCGTCCAACTACAATTCTCGGAGAGAATTTCTCGATTCTGGCCTGGCGTCAATGTCCAGTGGAAACTTGAAGATCGAGACGGATTTGGAGGTCTCGTTGAAGAGGAGGGTTATTCGACCACTTCCAGCAATACCCTCTACACCTTCACCCTCGTCAGCTACCCTTCCCTCGCCTCGATCGCCTCGCCCACTTCCTTCCCCTCCATCCAGTAGCCCCCTATCAGTCACGTCCTTCAAATCTGTCGAGAGCGTCGAGAGCTCGCGTTCGACACCACTTCCACCGATCCCTGAAATTATCATTGTCACACAGGTTCCACAACCTACATCACCTCCACAACCTACATCACCTTCTCGACCAAGGTTGCCGACCTTGGTGACGAATCTCGACTTGAAGCCACCAGAAAATGACGCAGACAGCCTCGCCTCCCCACTATCTCCGCAGATGCCCACTCCGCAGACTGCAAAACGCAAGCGGATGTCAAAGCTTCGGCGCCATCTGGGGGAGCCAATCCTCGACGAAGAAGTCTATGCACGCCGACTCTCGCCGACCCCAGTCACCTCGCTCACAAAAGGACCGGTCTTGCAGGAGGTGGAGCAGCTGGGAGAACGTTTGACATACATCAGGGCCGCTATAACAGTGGGAAAGATACTGGATATAATTGATGAAGAGAGTGACGATTCAGAGGAGGTCGAGAAGGACGAGGAGGTCCAGGAGGATTACACCTGGGTTCTGGAGAACGGGACTGTCTTTCGCGGCTTTAGGGAACGACGCCACAGTAGGAGATGGATGCATGAAAAACGAGGTCAGCGTTGGGAAGAATCTAACTACGACGTTATTCTTCAGGCGCTTCGATCGTTGTAGTTCTTCGTCTCTTGGGTGGAACCGGTTTTCTCCCCCATATTTCATTTCGCGCCTGCGCACCTCTCATCTCCAGCATTGCATTTTGTCCCCGAAAATACCTTTACTCCTCATTAGACATTAGACTTCACGATATCCTATAACTTTACCACTTTATCTCCTTGCATATTTACCCATCCTCGCATATCAGCAATAGAACAATCATCGCATTTTCACGACCTTGTCGTCATCAGACAGCGATGCAACGTATCAACGCAGCATTAACGAAGTATTCCAAGGTTCCTTCCAGTTCCCCGCCACCGTAATGGTGGGCGTGGTTCCGAAGATAGTGATTCGCGTCGGTTAGCCTGTAGCATGAAAAGACCACGAGCACCTTACGAAGCGTCGCCCCGGATCTGGGAGATGACCTACGCGTATTACCACAGCGTGCGCCACAATGACGTCGGGAATATCCAGCGGGCCAAGACCGTGGACTTCTTGAGGGCCAGGTGTTCCCTATGTATGACCCCACTGGGTTAACTGAGACTGGGAGCCGAGGTTGCATAACACTTGAGTTAGGGGGTGGTTTGGGCAACGCGAGAATGGGTTTAGTGTTTCTGAAATCAGAACTCGCAATTCGTTGATATTCTCTCTACCAAGGGCTCGGTTCCTTTCGCAATTCATATCGTGGTAGCAATCGGCCATGTAGTTCTGAATGTTAAGATAGCAAGATGCCGATAGCCTCCCCAACAAGAGAGGCAAAAAAGGTACATAAAACGCGTGGCGCAAGGCACAGGGTAGAATCGGTGGACGTCCCTTCTAACCAGCGATTGTAGACCCGTGGGGGGCTGACTCTCAAGTAGGTAAGTTAGACTCCTCAACCGCGGTGAAGCTTTCACTATGGTCACCATTCGTCTAGGTCGCTGGCCGTGTTCAACGTTCTGCTGCGGCCACTTCCGACTCTGCGATGCAAAGGATAAAAATGCAGGTAGGCCATTTGATACGTATTAGCAGCAACTTGTTTCGATCAAGTGACTTCGGGGTATATTGCAAGATAGGCACATATATGGGCCCCGCGCGCTTCCAAATGCGCCATGCTGCTACTTAGAGGTAGAGGTAACGAGGTTGCTGTTGTGGAATTATTCGGCGGTGACAAGTTGTGGACAAGAACTAGGCAAAAGCTAAAAGGAGAGATGGGTCGAGCTGCTGACTCAAGCATCTTGCTAGCGATGAGGGAAGGGCTTGGTAGTTCGAGTATGATGTGTTATACAGTCGAGCGAGCGTCAACGGTACGTGTCTCGGAGTCGCAGGCACTGTGATGGAAAAGCAAGTCAAAAAAGAAACACCCGAAAAGTGCCAATTTATAGCAGCAACTTGTTTCGATCAAGTGACCTCGGGGTTTCATAGAGAGAAATATGGGCCCCGCGCGCTTCCAGCTGCGCCATGCTGCTGATTGTAGAAGCGAATAATAGATATTTGAGCTAGTCCGTACCCAAAAATGGACACGTGGCATAGGTCGTAGAGCAATGGAGAGGAGACTGAACGGGTATGTAGTGGTGCTTGGCATGGGTCGCGCGCGGGTCATCGTCGTCGTTGTCGTTATGGACTGGCTGCGTGAACATGAATTGGTGACCCGAGAGGCGGATGAGAACTCGAAAAAGCGGGACTATATGTGCGCAGCACTAGCAGGAATTTGTTTGGGCCGAGTGGCCTCGGCGTCGTGAATCGGCATGCTACCACTTGAGCCTCGACGATGCTGGCCTGGGCGGCTTCCTCCGCGCCATGCTACTAGTACTAGCGTATTTTAAGGAGGTGCAGCCGCCAGGAAGTAGGAGAATTTTGTGGTGCTTGGGAGAGTCGCATCAGCGCTGGCACTTGCGGTCGGAATCGATCTTCGTTATGGTTGTGGATGACGTAACCTCTCCCGAGAGGCGGACACTGGATAAATACTTCAGAAGTATGCAGAAGATCAAAGGAACCGCGCTCACGACTTCATATGCACCGACTTGTTTCCATCGAGTGGCCGCGGGTTTCTCAAGTTGACTCCCCGTTGTAAAACGGCACATAACGGCCCGCGCTGTGCCGTGCGACTTAGAGGTAGAGGTAGCGGTAGCGAGGTTGTTGTTGTGCACTTCGGCGATGACGAGTTGTGAACAACGGCTGAAAGGAGAGATGGGCCAAGCGTCTTGCTAGCACTGAGGTAAGTAAGGCTTTGGTAGCTCGAGACCCGCGAGGTATACAGTCGACTGTGCGTCGATGGTACGTGCCTCGGAGTCGAAGGCGCTGTGACGAAAAAGCAAGTCAAAAAAAAACACCCGAAGTAGGTGACATATATAGCAGCAACTTGTTTCGATCAAGTGACCTCGGGGTGTCATACAGAGAAATATGGGCCCCGCGCGCTTCCAGCTGCGCCATGCTGCTGATTGTAGAAGCGAATAATAGATATTTGAGCTAGTCCGTACCCAAAAATGGACACGTGGCATAGGCCGTAGAGCAACGGAGAGAAAATTACGGGTATGTAGTGGTGCTGGGCATTGGTAGCGCGAGCCTCATCGTCGTTGTCGTTATGGGCTGCTTGAACGTATATGGTAGACCCGAGAGGCGGATAGAAACTCGAAAAAGGGGGCTATATTGCGCACTAGAAGAGACTTGTTTGGGCCGAGTGGCCTCGGCGTCGTGAATCGGCATGCTACCATTTGAGTCTCGATGATGCCGTCCTGGGCCGGTTCCGTCTGCGCCATGCTAGTACTCGTCAATGTGAAGAACGAACAAATTGAGGGAGCTGCAGCCGCCAGGAAGTGGAAGAGTTTTGTGGTGCTTGGAAGAGTCGCATGAGCGCGGGCATTTGCGGTCGGAATCCATCTTCGTCACGGTTGTGCATGCCCTGACCTCTCCTAAGAGGCGAACACTGGATAAACACTTCAGAAGCATGCAGCAGAAGATCGGAGGAAGCGCTCACAGCTTCTTCATACGCAGCGGCTTGTTTCCATCAAGTGGCCTGATTCCTTGATATAATACTTCACATAAGGGCCCCCGCGCGCTTCTGCCTGCGCCATGCGAGTATATACTATAGAGGTAAAGGTAGCGAGGTTGTTGTTATGGAATTTCGGCGATGGCAAGTTGTGAATGTGAACACAAGAACTGGCAAAGGCTAAAAGGAGAGATGGGTCAGGATCTTGCTAGCGCTGAGGTAAGGCTTTGGTAGTTCGAGTACGGTGTGGTACACAATCGAGTAAGCGTCGATCCGACTCGAATCCACTCGATGGTACGCATGCCGGGGTTGAAGGCGCTGTGATGAGAAAGCAAGTAAAAAAAAATGCCGGGGATTGGGACTATAGCAGCAACTTGTTTCGATCAAGTGACCTCGGGGTTTCATACAGCGAGATATGGGCCCCGCGCGCTTCCAGCTGCGCCATGCTGCTGTGTGAGAGGAGTAGTAAATGGAAAGTTTGTGGTTGAGGTTGAGTTGTGCTCAGAATTTGAAGGTTGCCCGTGTTTGTCAGGGTGATCAGAGTGCCACGCCCACTGCGTCCATTCAAACCTCGCTTTTTCCTCCTACCGAGCATCCTGGCCTCCGTGTCAAGCGCATGTCCGGCAAGGCGCCACCCAAAGGCCCTCGCGCCCTCCTCGGCACTCACAACCAGCAGCCCCCACCCTCCTCCTCCTCCTCCTCCTCCTCGTCCTCCCAACCCCAACTTCCTCTACACCATCACCCACCCACCCAGCCTGCACACCAACATCCACCCACAGGCCCGCGCTCCTCACCCACCGCCCCCGCTCCCTCTTTGACATCCTTCTCCAAGCCCATCCCGACTGGCCCCCGGAGTCTGCTCCCAGGCCCGCGCAATGGGCACCCCCCAAAAGCCCCGCACTACCTTTCCAACAACAACAGGGAGAGGGACCGGGAGAGGGAGAAGGGCGTGGACAGGGACAGGGAGAGAGACCAGGGCGGACTGCAGACTAATCGGCGGCCTATATCGATCAAAAACAAGCTACAGGATACTGGATCGAGGAATGCAGGGCCTGGCGGCGTTTCAGTGAGGATCCCCCTTGTTCTCTTATTTTCTTATTTCCAATTCTGACTGTATATAAAAGACATGGCAAGGCACGAATGCCTGGCTCGACAATGGAGGCCCGAGTTCCATAGCGAGAACCGAAAATGCAGCTTCGGTGGGTGCTTCTTTTTTCTATTTCTTTCCATGTCATATACTCAATGACTTATATAACAGTCGTCCTCCCGTCCCACGACGAATGGCAACGACGCCATGAACGGCGTCACCGCACACATCGCCAGCAACAACACACGCGCCGCCATCTCCATCCCCATCCCCCTCTCCGCCGCCTCCGCCCGCGCTCGTGAGGTCAAAGGCCTCCCCAAACCCGTCCCCTCGCCGTTCACCCGGGGAGAGCCAGAACCTGAGCCAGCAGAGCCGGCGCCTCCTCCGCCTCCTCCACCAGACTATGACCCTCCACCGCCTCCGCCTCCGTCACATGCCCCGCCGCCCGTGCCGCCACCAGACGGCATGGAAGTCGACACGCCCCCACCGCCGCCGTCCACCCCTCCACCACCACCACCTCCAACGGAAGAGGAACCACCGCCACCCCCTCCGCCACCGCCAGAACCAGCATCCCTACCGCCTCCCCCACCTCCTCCTTCAGCAGAAGCACAACCGCCCCCACCACCACCACCACAAACCCCGCCGCCCCCACCACTATTCATAGCATCCCAACCCCCGCCCACCCCACCCCCATCTTTATTCATCGCCGCCCAACCCCCCCGATCCTCACCGCCGCCCGAGATCGAATTCCAATCCATACCCGACGTCCCACCTCAAACCAAACCACACCGGACGCGCACGCCCACCCCTCCCCCGCCCCCGTCCCCGCCGCGACTGTACTCGCTCCCCCCGGCGTGGCCGCCCCCTCGTGAGGCGTACCCTTCGACACCGACGTTCAAGGTCCTGTTCGACCCCGCCCTCGACGTGCCTTCAGTCGCGTCTGGGAGCGGAGGGAAAGATAGGGATAGGGAGAGGGAAAGAGACTCGTTCGTTCCGAATATGCTCTCCCCCTTGGCACTATCGAACCTGAACGCTGGGGTTCCGGGTGTCGTCGCTTCTCTGCGCGCCTCTGGGTCTGCGTCGAGTGTAGGAGCGGTGGGAGGAAGTGTGCAGAAGAGGGACCCGGTGTACTACCGTGCGCTGATTGAGCATGTACGGGTGCATGCGCCGGAGCGTGTTAAGGGGAAGGGGAAGGGAAGGGAGATGCTTTTAAGGTATGAGGGTGGGGTTGTTGGGATTTTTGGGGGGGAGGCTGAGGGGGTGGATGGGAGGGGGGGAGTGGAGGTTGGGGTTGATGGGAGGAGAGGGAAGCAGGATGGGAAAGAGGCGGGGAAGGAGGCGGAGGCAGGGGGAGATGGGACTAGCTCATCTACGTCGCGTGAGCCTTCTGCGGGCCCGTCGCGGAAGACGAGTAGTTTGCCTGGGATGGTTGAGGAGGAGCCTGTGCCGTATGATCTTAGGAGGGATCCGGCGGTGCGCGCGCTTAAATTTAACACGACGCGGGGTGTGAGGGAGACGTTTACTGAGTATCGATGGGAGGTGCGTTTTCTCCTTTCTTCCTCCTGCCTTCCCAGCGCGTATATACAAGGTCACTAACGCGTCCCCCACAGCACGACGCCAACACCCCCACCCCGCCCCCCACAAGCGTAACCATCGCCAACATCCCCCCCCTCACCTCCACCTCCCTCCTCCGCACCCACTACCGCAAATACGGGCCCCTCGACACCTTCGAGTGGCGCACCAACCGCACCAACGGCGCCGCGCTCGGCGTGCTCCACCTCAAGTACCGCACGCCCCAAGAAGCCGCTGCGTGCGTGCGGGCGGAGGAGGGGAGGCGCGTGGGGTTCGGGGGGGTGGTGCAGGGGGGAATGCAGAAGGGGGGGGAGGGGGAGGAGAGGGTGAGGGCGGTGGTGGATGGGGAGGGGAGGGTGGTGGGGGCGGTGGTGAGGGAGTTGGAGGGGAGGATGGAGGAGAGGAGGAGGAGGGAGAAGGGGTTGCCGCCGGCGAGTGTTGGGGTTCCTACTCCGGGTGGGGGAGAGGGTGTGGCGCAGACGCCGATAAGGACACCGGTGGTGAATGGGGATGTGCCGCAGACGCCTGGACAGGGACAGGGGCAGGGGCGTGGAGTGGGAAGCCGCCCGCGATGTCTGGAGTAGCGCCCAGACCAGGACCAGGGACAGGACCAGGGCCAGGTAAACAACAGCAGCAGCAGGCGCAACAACCACCTGGACCAGGCCATCCCAAGCACCACCACCACTTCCCCAACCTCCCCGCCAAACCCATGCTCGCCCCCTCTCATACCCACGCCAGCGGCTCCAGCAACGCCAGCCCCCACCCGCACGCAAACGGGAGCGCCACGCCTATGCATATGCATCCGCTGCCGTTTAAGCCTTTGGATGGTGGGAAGGGGGAGGAGAAGGTGGTGGTGGTGGTGGCGAAGCCGACGGAGGCGCTGTTGAAGGCGAGGATGGCGCTGAATGGATTGGCGGAGCCGGTGGTGGCGAAGCCGACGGAGGCGCTCCTGAAGGCGAGGATGGCGTTGAATGGGCTGGCGGAGCCGATGAGGGGGGCGAGGGATCGGGATGGCGGGAAGGAGAAGGAGTGGGAGGGTGGGAAAGATAGAGATGGGAGGGAGAGTGGGGGGTCGACGCCGCATGTCCCTGCTCATGGGAGGGGGAGGCCTGGGGCCTACAATGGTAATAGGTCGTGGGTGGATAGAGACAAGGTGGACAGGTATATGCCGTCGAGGTCGCGGACGCCGTCGCCAAGGCATCACCGTGCGGGCGGGGATAGCTGGCGCGCGGGTGGGAGGAGCAGGAGTCGAGATCGGGATAGGGAGCGGGGGAGGGAGTATGATAGGATGTGGGGGAGGGGGGATAGTTATCGTGGGAGCAGGGGTGGGTGGGATCGGTGGGAGGGGAGCAGCAGGAGTCGGTCGAGCAGTCGGTCGTATTCGCGCAGTCGGAGTCGGAGTAGGAGCCGGGAGAGGGACAGGGACAGGGACAGGGATAGGGACAGGGACAGGGGGAGGGGTGGGGATAGGCCTGTAAGGGACTATAAGGCGGAGAAGGAGAAGGATCATATGGCGGTGGTGGAGGTGCTTGCGAGGAATGGGATGGATCATGTTACTATTCCGTTGGTGGGGAGTGCCAGGGAGGAGGATGTTAGGGATTTTTTCGCTGGGCTCAAGGTCGATAAGGTGCGCTCTTATGCCTTCTCTTTTGTGGCTGGACCCGGAACTCATTGCTTTGTTCTGTCTTTCTTTCCCTTTCATCAAACTTATATTCATTTGGTAAAACCGCGTTTCTGACCACAAATCCACCTCTACAACATGACGCACACCACAGATTCTCAAAGATCACCTCGGGTGGTATATCACTTTCCTCACCCCCGATGCCGCCAAACGCGCGTCGCTCGTGAGCTCGAGTAGGAAGCTCGCGCACCAGCAAGTGACCGTCACCGTTGCCTCTGCGCCTGCCCTCCCCACTCAGGGGCGCAAAGATGGCGAATGGGACGACAAGGCCTTGGTTGATGAGGCGCAGAAGCTCATCATAAAGGAACTGAAGGAGCTGCTTGCGAAGGACGTCAGGGACCGGTTGATAGGTCCTGAGATGCGGGTTGCGATTGCGCGGGAGAGGGAGAAGCTGAAGGCGGGCCCGGTTGGTGGGAGGAGAGGGGGGGCGTTTGGGATCGGGGAGAAGAGGGGGCTGAAGGGCCTGTCGTTCAAAAAGCAGCCGAAGCCGCAGGTGACGGTGGTGGTGGAGGAGGTGCAGAGTGCTGAGGTGCCGGAGGGGAAGCAGGAAGAGGAGGAGGAGGAAGAAGGGGAGGAGGAAGTTGTGCTGGAGAGGCCGAAAAAGAAGAGGAAGAAGGAAGTGGTCAAGGTTAGCCGCAGGATCGTTGAGCAGGATGTGGAGTCGGAAGACGAGGACGCAGTGGAACCTGAACGCAAGGTGGAAGTTGTTCGCAAGAGGGCTGTATCGGAGGAGAAGGATGAAGAGCAGGAGAACGAGCCCGTGAAGAAGAAACCAAAGGTCGAGGTCGAATTCGAAGTCGAAACCAAAGCCAAGAAGGGTTTGACAAAGAAGAAGACCAAGAAGACACTCAAAAAGACCGTGGAGACCGTCGAGGATTTGCTCTTCTCCACTGACCTGGACTTTGACGTTCCCTCCGTCGCACAAGTCCGAATCACACCTGGCTTCGAGTCTTCGCTCTCTCCTTCACCTGCACCGGAAACCAAACGCCCGCCTCCACCTCCACGCGTTGTGACCCCTCCGCCGACTCCGCCGCCAGACCCCGTCAGCGAGGGCTTATGCGAGGACGACGAAGATCTGTATTTCCTCAAACTTGCCTTGGCCGGGTATGAG